CCTTTAAAGGGGTTAAGTAGATTACAGGTATTAATCAACATATTGAATTCAACCTGGGCATTGAAATAACATTATTGTGACCCAAAATGTAGCATCTCCTTTGTGAGCACCTCCTTTGTGGGGAATGGACAACATGGGGAAAAGGTTGGTCAGATTCTGAGCAAACAACAGTAAGTTCAAAGTGGAAAATCAGTGGCAAAAAGACAAATTAAAACAGAAAAATTCAGTCTAGTTAGCACATCCCTGTGCAAACTGCCTAGCTGGTTTCTTGAAGACCCACACTAGTTATGGTAATGTTCTCTTGGTCCCTGTTTCTGTTTCTCTCCCTTCTTGTTTGTGGAAAAACCATACTGAGTGCCTGTCCTAAAGGAACCTTGGGATAATCTCCTCATGTGCCTGCCTCAGGCTCCTTTATTTCTTGGGAGTTTTGCTCACAGTACCTTTGCTGGAAGAGCATTCACTCATGGTACCCTCAACTAACTTTTCTAGTGGAGTTAGTGGAGATCCCCCCTGCCGCCAGTATTTTATTCCAGAGAGCCTGCCTTTGAGGGGTGCGTTCCCTTCGGCATGCCGAGCTTCCCACACTTCTGTTTCCCCATGCAAAGCCATTTGAGCAAAATTGTGCCCGCTTCCTGTTAAGTTCTGTCAGAGAAACCCTCCAGCATCACAGTGCTGGGCTGAATGTGTGAGTCTGACCTTGTTTCTTGTTTTTTCAGTATTTCTAGCCTGCTTCCCCCATTAGAATGCTCAAATGGGCTGAGGAGGTTTAGGGAGACCCTGCAAACCAACCCAAAGGGAACAGATCCCTGCATTTCAGGGGCAAGCGGAAGCCTGTAGTGGCCTTTGCTTAGTTCCTCACTCCTGGTCAAGGCCTAGTCAATCTCTGGCAGCCACCACAAGGGTCTGCATCCCGCTGTGGACTGTCTCACTCCTGGGAAGAGGCACATGGGATCATCCCAGGGCAGCTGCTCTGAAGCGACTTCTCTGGTCTCTCCTCCCTTGTCTTGGTTCCAGAAGAATCTTTGTCTGTCTGTCTACTGACTGTCTGGACGGCACAAGATTCTTCATTGTTTAGGCCTGGACAATTTACAATAGGCTGGTTAAGTGGTGCTGCTTGGCATACAGATGACCTCAGCCAGGTCATCTACATTGGAATGCCGGCTTCAGGTGATCTGGCCTTTCACTTAAGCAAAGACCTGCAGCTGATTGCAAAAGGGAGATTTTTTTGTCTCTTGGACCTGAAAAGATGGCGTAGTATGGTCTCACTCAGGGGCCAGTAATAGCAGGTTTTTTCATTCCTCAGAAGCATCCACTCTCCCTGCCATTCTCTCAAGTATGATCTGGAGCAAGATTTGCCCACCTGTATTTTTTCTGAAGGTGACTAGTATTTCTTGAAGAAACATCTCGGGGCCACATGTAAAAAAAAAAGTCAAAGGGCTAAACAGATAAAGAAATGAAATACTCCATCCAAATTAAACAGGCAAGTTCATCAGACAATACTTGGGTTCCTGAAGAGAACAACAGTGACATCATTTGCGACAGCATTTGGAATTCTCCATTATGTTTTTTTGCAGGAAAACCCAGGCATTTAATTGGGCTTGCACTGCTCACAAACTGCCCAGAAACTACCCACCATTACACTGATTGTAAAAAATACAGCACATGCATGTTCTATTTAGATTCACTTGTTGCCTGAATAAACTTTGCATGTAGGCTTAAAAAGTAAACTGTGATTCATCTCTCAGCCAAAGATTGGCTCTTTATATTAATATAACATTCCTTCTCATTGATAAAAAGTAACATAGAGCACTTTCCTTGAAAACATTCAGTATAACTTCAAGTAATATTAGGTTTGGGGTTTGTGGGAGAGGATGGGTGTCGGACCTTTACTCTCTTGAATGTGACTGTATAATGAAAGTCATGGTGTGGTGACTCAGAAAAACAGTCACCGTAATCTTGGCTATTATTCCATGGAGCATTTTGTTTTATTTTGTTTTTGGGTGGGGGCAACCACTTATTCATTGACTTTGAGAAGATAACAATAGGAGTGGTATTAACTGTTCACTGTTTTCCCAGTTTGGTCAGTGGGTAGAGCCTTAACTCATTGATGCAAAGGATTTGTTTCCATGGATCTCTGAGCAGTAAGTTTCTCTTCCTTTCTGTATATTATGCACATCAGGCAGCAGGAATACCCTCTAGTGGAAATCAAGTGAACAAACAATAAAACACATTTCATGAGGTGGTCTTACATTTATGTTAGGTTACAACCTACCTGGATAATGTTATTTCATTTTATTGCTTTTGCTTTAGAAGTCACCAGGGCTGAAATCTCAACATTTAAATGAATCATTTAACAATAGACAGAGATAGAATTATGCATGCTTATAAAATTGACAAAAACTGTAAAAAGCAAGTCAAACAGTAATTTGCTTCCTTATTCATTCAACACATAGTACTGTCTAAATACCAAGTTGAATGATACACACCTTTCCTTTAACTGTATCTTCTTTAATACGCACATTTTCCTTTTCCTTTGAAATGATTTTTTCCACACAAAAGGGAAAATGTGCAATGACTATAACTGAAGATTTGTTTTAGTGACTTCCACTGAACTAGCTAATCTTGAGTGTTTAGCAGTTAGGCACCTAAGATTTGAAAGCTTGGATTTTGCTGTTCATTTGTTAAATCTTAGAATGCTTATTTGATTAAATCCTACAACTCCCAACATTCCCATATAGCATGGCTGGTTGTGGGTGGCTGGAAGTTGTGGAATTTTTTTCTGCCTAAACATTCATAGGACTTTGTCCTTGGGCATTTAATAGCACAGTCCTGAACAACTACAATCAGAAGTATGTCCCATTAGTGTTAAGAGGATATACAATTGCAGCCTAAATCCTATTTACTTCAACAAAATTTTAAGCAGTCTGTGTACATTCAGGTGGGGAAGCCATAACCTTCAAGCAAGTTTCATGAGGTCTTTATTTCTGCTGACCACAGAGATGGGAAAGGAAGAGAGAAGAGAAGGGTGGGGAGAGCACTATACAAACCAACTATGCTTACTTTTGGCCCTAGTCTTGCTGACTTTTCACTCAGATGCTGCCCACTGCCAGCTTTGAGCCTTCTTGATATCATCACAATTTCCAAGAATCACCTGACAGATGATTCTTGGAAAAAAGTGTCCTTCGGCAGAAAAGAAGCTCTCTACCTTCATATCTACCTTGGAAGACTTTAATGTGAAAACCAGTACTGGGGATGGGTGAAGCCTGGAGGGCTATGTGTCTGCTTTTAAAGAGGATAGTCATCTGCTTTGAAGGCACCCTTCAAAGGCTGTCAAGACAAAGTCTAGTTTAAAGATAGCAAATGATCAGAAGGGAATGAAATGGCTCATCAGTGGCACCAATGACAGCACTGTCATTGAAAAATCCATTCTACCTCCATAGCACAGATTATCAGGAGCGTTTTGTTTCATTCTCTGTTCATTGATGGAATCTGATTTTTTTTCCATTTCACAAAATTGCATTCATTCTTTCTAGGGCAAATTTTGCAATTGTACAAATTTGCTGTTCTGAATGCCCTGCTCCCATGCATACTTTCACATTTTTGATTGGTGACTTTCCCATCTTCATCTCAATTTCTGTAAAATTCTGGCAAGTGCAACACCAGTCTGCAAGTCCACAAAGACTCAGGAAAATCTGGTATACAGAGGAATCTGTGAGCTAGATTCAGACATCGGAAGTCTTTTGACTCCATTGCACATTTCTCCAATATTCCTAGTTGTAGCCAATTTGTTCCACTTAGAGTAGACCCATCGCAGTGAATGAATCTTAAGTGATGCATGACAAACAAATTCCATTCATTTCAGTGGGTCTATTCTAAGTATGACTAACATGGTACGCAACCCTATGATGAGATGTATTGTATTTGTATTTATAACATTATTATTTTTAACACATGCATAGTTTATGCAAATCCATGTCCTCTGTTTTTAATGATTTTTAAGTGGTCATCTTAGCAGTCCTGCTGGGATGTTTGGCATAAGAGGTGGATGGTTGCATGACAGATGCTCTCTGAATAGGGCTTTGTTCAATTTAATAGACATATGGTAGGCATTAAAATTCCTTTTCTGATAGAAGTGAAATAGTCACTTATGGCTGATATGAAGTTCTAATTAATTTTTTCTTTCATTTTATGAAGGTCAAGGCCAATTATTAACAGTTCACATGTAAAAATTGTAGTGCATGACCTCACCACAATTATCCATGCTTTGATAACACCCAGATTGGATCATTGCAATGCCTTCTATATGGGACTACTGTTTAAAAGACTTTAGAAACTGCAACCAGTGCAGAATGCTGCAGAGGGGGATTGTTAATGGGGCCTCACCACTAGCAATGCTGTCTCTTCAGTCTAGAAATGTCTACAGTGGCTTCCTGTATGCTTCAGGGCTGAGTGGTAAGTGTTGAGTTGGACCTACAAATGCCTAAATGGTCTGGAAGTTAAAGATAGTATTCTTCTGTATGACCCTGACCAAGTACCAAGATCATTAGAAATCCTACTCTCCAGGTCCCAGACATCAGAGCTTAGGTAGAGCAGGCTTTTTCTGTTGTGGCACCCCCTTTTTGGAATTCTCTCCAAGGTGATTTACTTGGCATCTGTAATGTTTTCTTTAAATGCTAGGTGAATACAATCTTACTCTTCTGCAGGAGTAGTGGTGGTCAAATTTAATTATGTGGTCCAATGCTGCAAGTCTTGTATTATTTGTTTACTCGTAGTATGTGTTGTTTTATTATTGTTATTATGCAACAATTAAAAAATAGTTTTGTAAACTACCTTGAATAAGTCTATGGAAAGGCAGGATATAAAAGAGCTTTTAAGGAAATGAATAGGCATTAGTAAATGTTTGCAAAGGGGTCTATAGTTAGCTGGTGTAGGAGAGATTCTTAGCCAAAGGCAATATTTATCCTATGAGCAATCATCCCTCTCTCTCTCTCTCTCTCTAGCTCCATCTAATCCACTGGAACTCCACAATGTACCATAGTATCAATGAAGCAGTCGGGAAGAAGAATGGGATAACCATTATTGCTTTGTTTGTGCAGGTAAATATCTTATTTCAGTAACTGTGCAAGGTCACTGCCTCATCTCCAGTTTTAACTTCCTTTCTAAAGATTTGCTTAATTAAGTTAAAATGCAAAACCCTCTCCTGCCTTTCCACTCCTCCAAAGGCAATAAAAGAAATTAGTCTCAGTGGGAAGAAGAGAATTCTTCAGACCAGAAAAGTCTACAAATGAAACTCTTTCTCCTGAAAACAAGATGTTATAGAGAGAGCCTTCTACATCAAGAAGTCAGGAGAAGGCTCAGTATCTCTCTACTAGTGCCTGAATTAGACACTTCTGTTCTGTCTACCAGCTTCTGAGTTAGATACTGCATTATGCCATTGCTCACTTTAGACTTAGGGTTACAGAACCTTAGGCCGTGGGCCAAATATGGCTCACATGGGGGTCCCCACCTGTCCCTCAAGCGTTCTCTAGATGGCTGCACTTCCTTCCCCTGGCCTAACTTCTTTCCTCTAATTGCCAATTGATTTGTGGTTTCCTGGCTTTTGTATCCCCCTTCCTCTGCTCCCAAGTATTAGGGTCTCTCCTTGGACTTAGCTGTCAGCACTAATAGCTTTAAAGTAAAATAAACTTACATTTTGGGTTTTTCTTGCCCCTGCTACATTTTGCATTTGTCTCTGCCTACCAACCACTGGATAGGAGCCCCCAAGAGCTCTTCCAAAATTAATTTTTACCCCGTGGGCTGAAAGAAGTTAAATACCCTCAGGAAGAGTGAATTACTATTCCTCCCCCTCTCCCCGATACCTACTAAATGAGCTTCTTTCAAAAGCAGGTACCAGAGACTGTCTGGAACTGTATGCTCTGTTACTAAGCTGTGTCTGCTTCCCTATGTTCTTTGTGGAAGAATTTTGTATGGTGACAGTACAGCAGCCTTATCTAACTTGGTTTGCCCTCCAAATGTTTTGGACTTCACTTCCCACAAGCCCCTGCCAGTGTGGCCAGTTACTGGGCCAAAAGGGAGTCCAGGCATTAGGGTGACCAGAAGGAAAGCAGGTGAGATTCTCATGAAGTTTTGATAGTTATTTTGGATAACGTGCAGGCAGAACATGTCCTGTAGGGCTATTTTGGCTCTGGCCTCTTGGCAGAGCAGCAGAGGCACAGGCTGGGAGAGAGTGCTGAGTGGCCAGGGGACTGTCCAGGAGGAAGCAGACAGGCGGGGCTGCCGGCCTGAGGGCCTGATAAGGTGTTGTCCCTTGTCTGCGTCCCTTAGGTGCGGCCCGGGCTGTCCAGGGACTCCCCTCCCTGGGACACAGAGGGGGTTTTTTTTCCCTTCCCTTCCCTTCCCTTCCCTTCCCTTCCCTTCCCTTCCCTTCCCTTCCCTCGTTTTTTTTTTTTTTTTGTGCTCTGCTGTGCTTTGCTTTGTTTTTCCTCCAATTTAAATTTAAGTTTATTTTATAAATTTATTTTATCCTTGTGTGTGTGTGTGAGTGGGTTTTTGTCTGGGAGAACTGGGCGAGTGAGAGAAACTGCAGGACAAACAAGGCAGGGGACCAAGGTAAGGTCTCGGAAGGGATCCCAGTGGCAGACCAGGAGATGGCTTTGGCGGGAGTCACGGGTGTTGCCATCCGCTGTGACAGCTGCGACATGCTTGCCCTTCTTCCCCAGGAGAGGCAGGGTTATACTTGCCCTCGGTGCAAGGTGGTGACCCTGCTAGAAGAGGAGGTGAGGTGCTTGAGGGCTGAGAGAGCCCTCCAGGCCCCCAGGGAGCAGCCCCCCTCTGGACAGAGGGTTGAGGGAGAGGCCATGGGAGGAGCAGCTGCGGAGACATGAAGGTATTTCACCCACAGGAGGAAGAGGCCAGCACGGGCTCCTCCTCCTCCTGGCACCAATCTGGAGCTGGAAAACCGGTTCTCTCCACTTGGGGAGGCTCGGGCTGATGAGGCCTCAGGGGACCACCAGGACCCACAGCTTGAGACAACAAGTGGCAAGGGGGCCGCTGCAGGAGAGGCGAGGGCCAGGGCACAGCCGCCCACCACCACCAGCCTGAGGGGCACTGAGGCAGTGGTGTGCCGCCCCAACCTGGAGACAAGGGAAGTTTGCTGCCTGCCAGGCGCATGCATTTGGCATGTGAAAGACAGAGTGGAGCATCTTGTTTGCTCCGGGGGTCACCAGCTGCTCCTGGTGATCCATGTGGGCACAAATGATGTGGCAGGGTGTGGTTGGGATCACCAGGGACTTTGAGGCCTTGGGGAAGAAACTCAGGGAGCTGAAGGCCCAAGTGGCCTTCTCGTCAATCTTACTGGTCCAGGGATTTGGGCCAGGAAGGGACAGGAGGGCCTCCGAGGTGAACGACTGGCTTAGGGTGTGGTGCCAGAAGGAATGCTTTGGGTTCCTTGACCATGGCACTTGTTTTCTTGCCAATGGACTTCTGGCAACGGATGGGTTACAGCTCATGAGGATGGGGAAAAGGTCCTTTGGAGATGCTCTAGTGAGCTTCATCCGGAGGACTTTAAACTGAGCGGGGGGGGGGG